TTTTTTTTTTTTATCTTCTTAGCATTTAAAAAATTTTTATATATAATAATTATATATACGGGCATATTTAAAAAAAAAAAGCAAAATAATTAAATGCTTAATAAAAAATGAGAATTTTTTTTAATAATAATAGTATATTTTGATCTCATGAGTTTTGGGGGCTGTCATTTGGCTGTTATTTTTTTTTTAATTTAATAATAATAATAAATTTATTATGATAAAATTATTTAAAATTATTTTATTTTATAAACTTTAAAAATTTCTAAAATAATAATTATTATTTTCGTGGCGCAATAATTGTAACAAAAACAATTTTAATAATCTTTTGATAATATTTATTATTGTTTTTTACTCTTTTTTACTCTTTTTTTTTTACCGATTTATATTTTATTAACCAAGAATTACGTAAATCGTTATAAAAGAATCGTACTATTATTTATATTACCTGCAAAAAACTTGTTATATTAATTTTTGAGCGAGTCATACGCGCTTTTTTCCTTTATACTTTTGCGTATCAAAGGGTAAACAAAAAAAAACTTTTTTTCCCTTACACAAGGTTTCCCATAAATTTGGCAATCCTTTTTTTATTTTCAAAACTATAATTGTCAAAATTTTTTAAGTAAAAAAAAATCAGGTTTTTATTATATATTGACATATTAGGATGGGTAATACCATACTTATACATTTATACGGTTAATATGAAATATGAAAATTCATTTTATTATATATACAGATATGAAACAGATCGATAATAAAAAAGGCTAATTTTGGTTTCAAAATAAAAAAAAAACAATGAAATATATGTCGATGATGACCCGGATGGCCTGATTTTTAATCATGTGATGTATTTATTTTTTTTTATAATGCCACGTTTTAGTTTAACAAATGTTTTTGAATAATTGCTGATGTAATTACCTTAATTTAGAAAGTTCCTGCCCAAGTTAATTTATAAAATATATTATTATTGTCTCTATTCATCTTATTCAATCTACTATTCAATCTATTCAATCTATTTCATGCCAATAATGCACTCCACAATGTATGATTAGTTATAGAGGAAAACCGATAAAGCGACCAACTCGTGAAAAAAAATGGGACCGAATATGCGATGAGTCATAATATCAATCTCAAAATAAATATTCTCAATATGTTATGACTCACATTCCTTATAATGTCATAATTTCATAATCTTAATGAAAATTATATCCAAATTAATATAAACGATCCTCTTTATTTATCTTAGGTTCTAAATACGCCTTAATGCAGTAAAATGTTGTAGTTTATAGCGGTTTTTTTTTTTTATACATACATTTAATATAAGCATTTGATACGGTTAAGGGGTGGCAAAAACCTGTTTGGCGTACAGAACTATTTTCATTTACGAGTTTATAATATCATCAAAAATAAATTTTAATTTCCTTATTATGGTATTTTTTTTTTTTAAATATACAAATTTATTTTATATTTGTTTGTTTTGGGGGAGTAATTGCAGGAGAACTTCTGTTGTGTTGGATGTTGGATGATTTTTATTTTAACATATTTAAACAAACTTTGGCATATTTTTTTTAAAAAGAGATATTTAAATTTTTTTTTTTCTTACATGATTTACTCCCGCCAATTGTGGCCCCTTCACCAGAATAACAACAATGATCGATAACAGATGCAAAATAATTCTATTACTTTTTTTTTTTTTTATTTTACCGATCTTTTAAAATAATTTTGTTCAAAAAATAGTTATTAAGTTAACTTATTAAGCCATATAATATAAATGAACGAATTACGATTTAGGTTAAGTGTGATCTTTCATATCAGCGAATCAATTTTGGATAGATGAAAAAAAAAATTATATTATTTTTTATATATATTTTTAAAAAAACCATCGATTAAAAAAAAAATTTAAAGTTTTTTGATTTTTTTTTGACTATTGTTTTCTACTGTGTAATTTTAATTTATTTGACTACTTGAACAGAATTACAGATTACATATTAGTACATACTACATACAATACGTACATAAAAAAAACATTAAATATATTTTTATCCCGTCTCACAAAAAAAAAAAATGTAAAAAAAAAATATTGTAAAANTACAATATGTTGAATGATCCTTTACAATATGTTGGAATGAATGGAATAAAAAAATTATTATGTTATGATAAATAAAAAAAAAAAATTGTAAAAAAAAAAATTTGTAAAAAAAAACATTGTAAATAAAAAAACATTGTAAATAAAAAAAACATTGTAAATAAAAAACATTGTAAATAAAAAAGCATTGTAAATAAAAAACATTGTAAATAAAAAATACATTGTAAATAAAAAAAATGTAAAAAAGAAATATTATAAAAAAAAAAATATAATATTAAAAATATCGTAAAATAAAAATATTGTGTAAAAAAAAAAAAAATATTTTTTAAAAAAAATAATACTTATATTACATTGTAAATAAAAATATTGTAAAAAAAAAGTTTTTTTTGATTCCATTTTAGATTTTATACGGTTACTAATTATATCTTATTTATTTTATTTATCTTATTTATCTTTTACTTATCTTATTGAAATGGACATATATATTTTTTTTCTTCTTTTTTTTTTCTTTCTTTCTTCTTTTCCTGTGTTTCATTACCCCGAAAATAATTATCCTTATAAAGAATCTACCCATGTTCATAAAAAAATAATTATGAACACGTTTTTTATATTGCACACACTATACGCACTATACACACTACACATAAATGTTTATATTTATATTTATATAATATACATTATTTTTTTTATTATAATAAGTTTAAACTTTTTAAGGGAAATTAAATTTCAACACATGATATTTCTTTGATTGTTGTTATTAAGGTTTTTTCTTTTGTTTTTCTTTCAGAAGAAAGAAAAAAGAACATTGTTAAAAAAAAAAAATAGTTTATAAATAGGCAATATAATAACAATATGATTAAATAGTGTTGATTTAAACTAAAATAAATATAGTAGTATATCTCTTTTTCTGCTATAAACCCTAAAACGGCCGTTTACGGTCCAAAATTTTGCCTGCAATTTTTTTAGCCTAAATGCTTTAAATGCTGCTAAATGTTGTTAATTATCCTTTATTTAAAAATTCTAAAAATCAAAAAAAGGTTAGTATAAATTCTTGTCCAATCATATTGGGATTCATCACAGTGTTAATCAAATGACGAAATGTCGTGAGACCATCACAAATCTTGTTGATTTAACATCTTTTTTCATGCATTAAATAAAAAAGAGAATTATTGAGAATAAAATACAACATGATATTTTTTTTTTTTTTTGAGTCGTACAAAATAATACGTGGGAAAATGTCACCTGGTTGATGCGTTTTAGAATTAATGCATCAAAATGTTCTGAATTTCAACTGTTTATTATATTTGATTTTTAATACTACAAAGAAAATGAACATCTTTTACATCTTTTTCAAATCAATTAATGCTTTTATATTTTTTATTACTGGTTCAATCATCATGTGTTCATGTTTGAAATACAAATGATATTCAGAAGTTATTTTACTAAAAAAAAAAAATAAATAAAATAACGTAAAGATAAATGCATCGTTACATTTTATACATAAAAATCATGGTAAATACTTTTTTTGATTTGCTCGATTTCAATATCAAATTACATAAAAAGTTTATCAAGAAAGATATTATTTTAGAAGAAACGATAAGCTATTATATAAATATCGTGATACGTTAAATGCAGATTACATAACTTGATAACGGAAGATGCATACTTTAAGAGAACAAACTTTCCATAAGTTCATATGCTTATCTAATTATTTTATTATTTATTAACCTAGTATGAATTTCATTTATTCCGAATATTTGAAATTTGAATAAAAAAGTACTGGAATATTGAAAATTATCGAAAGCGAATCAATTTTTTTTAAAAAAAAATTAAAGTTAGATATGATGCAAATAATTTTGATTTAATCTGATTACATGTTATTGGTTTATCTTGACTGGTTATCTATTGGTTGTTTAAAAATATACCTCAACTTTAACATGTTTATACCGGTATTAACCTTTAACAAACCCTTTTTATTTTTTTTTTAAATATGGGGACTAATTTTTTTTTTAAAAAAAAAATATTAAAGTATTAACCTGTTTTAAATATTGATAATGAATTTTCAGAATTATGTTTTTTTTAAAATTAAATATTATAATTACTGATTTACATATTATTGGTATTTCTTTAACAAACCCTTTTATTTTTTAAATATATAGTAACTAATTTTTTTTTTAAAAAAAAAATATATTTATAATAATTAAAGTATCCTGTTTTTATATAAAATATTGATAATAAATAAGATTTAATTCTAAATTTTCAGAATCATGTTTTTTAAAATTAAAGTAATAAACTAAATTATAATTACTGATATTTTTTGACAAGTTAACATCTTTTTTAAATAATTTTTTTTAAAAAAAAAATATTAATAATAATTGA